AGCTCCGCCGGGGAGCACCAGCCTCGTAGCAGGAGAGCCCTGGGGCAGGCAGGACCAGACGCCACCCCAGCCCAGACTCGCAGCCTCCAGAGTGGGCGGCAACGCCCTGCCTGCTGCTCATGCCACCCAGCCAGGGCATCCCAGGACACAGATCCACCTTCTCTGCCCAGACACGAAGAGGGCAGGGTTTATGCTCCCTACAACTCGTGTGACGACAGCTTCAAACGCACAGGGAAGTTCAGAAATTATTGTGAGGCCCCCAGAATCTCCTGACCTGGACTCAGCTATCATCGCTCTCGTCTCTGGCTTCCTCCTGCCCTCCTCTGTCTCTACCATTTGTAAGTAGCTGTCGACACCAGGACGTTGCCCCTAAGTATCCCAGCATGCTCCTCCCCAAAATAAGACAATTCCCTTCATAATCACAAAACCATACCTGAAAAAAAATGTGATAGATCATAGTATTTTTATCTACTCCATATGCAAAAATCCCTAAGTATATATCACAAAAGTCTTAGAACTTTTTTTTCTTATCAGGTTCCAATCTAATGTCACAGTTATTTCTCTTACCCTTGGCTCCTTGTTTTTGTGTTTTGTCGGGACATTGATTTTTTTTTTTTTTTTTTTTGTTTTGAACTCAGGAGCACATGACCACTGAGCCACATCCCAGCCCTATTTCCAGCCCTATTTTGTGTTTTATTTAGAGAGGGTCTCACTGAGTTGCTTAGCACCTTGCTTTTTTCTAAAGCTGGCTTTGAATTCATGATCCTCCTGCCGCAGCCTCCCAAGCCTCCGGGATTACAGGCGGGAGCCACTGCGCCCAGCGGGGCACTGATGTCTGGAAGCACCCAGTGGGTCGTCTTGCGGAACAATGCACATGTGTGGTCTGGTGACAGTTGCCTCTCCCTCTCCTCCCTGGTGTGGCTCCCATCCTTCTGTCCCTGTATTCCTGTCATCAGAGAGGAGGCTTCAGGCCTTAACGGATGCAGGTTACTCAGGGGGCCCAGGTGCCCTGGCCCTTCCTCTTGTGTCGGCTGGTAGTGCCCACCCACCCCCCACTGAACTTGACTGGGTGGTTAAGGACAACCTGTGTGTCACAGAGAATTCTCCCCCGTGTGGTCCACGAGCCACGCGTGGCTGTCCTGGCCCCATGGCAGTGTCCTGCTTCCCAGTTAGCCCAAGAGGAAGCACCCTGATATCCTTCCCAGGCCAGCTGTGACGTCCTGGGTCCGTGGGGGACTCTCTTACCACCACCCACCTAGACACGCTGGATGCTTCCCCAGAAGACACTTCTCTTTCTGTTGTTTAGTATCTTACAAATAGTTTTTGATGGACACTTGAATCATCTTTCTTACATTGGACCCTTGGGAGCCCCAAGAAGGGAACCAATGTTAAAAGGCAAGGAGCAGGTGTGTGAGTCATCGACTTTGGGGGCAATGGTCTGCCTTAGTCAACTTTTCGTGGCTGTGACCAAAATACCCAACAACAACAACGTAGAGGAGGAAAGTTCACTTAGGCTCACAGGTTCAGGTTAGTCCAGGGCGGGCCGCTCCGCTGCCCTGGGCCCAGGTGAGGCAGAAGGGCATGGCCGGACCAGGAAACAGAAGGGGAAGATGCCCCTTCCAGGGCCGCCACGCCCCACCTGCCCACAGTCACCACCCAGTCAGTCGGCTCCAATGAGGACGAACTGATCAGGTTCCAGGTCTCAGAATCTAATCATCTCACATCCGACACTTCTGCATCAGCAGGAGCTTTGGGCGGACACCTCATGCCTGAACCATAGCAGGGTCCGTCCGTCAGTTAGGTAAGAATGGCAGGTAAGATGGGAGGGGACGAGAACAGAGGAACAGGCCCCGGGAGTGGGCAGGATGGCGAGGAGCTGTGGAGGGCCACTTGCAGCCCTCTCTGCCTCCTGCCTCCATACCTCGACACACAGCCGCTGGGGAAAGTCCGAGGTCCCAGTCCAGCCTAGGACAACCATGGCACCTGCCCAGGCTGTGGCCAGGACTGCAGGGACCCTAGAGCTGGCCTCCCTAGTGCATGCACCTCTGCCGGGAACATCCCCCACCCCTCTGGGTCCATCCCCAGCACCCCAGATTCTGGGTGGGCGGGGCAGGAGGGTGGGGCGCTGGCAGGGTCCTGGGCAAGGCTGCCGTCGCGCCTGCCGGCTCTAGGGGGCTGTTCTCGGGAAAGCCAGCTGTTCTGTTTGAGTCAGGCTTTTCCCTGCTGCGACTGAAAGACCCAACCAGAGCGACTGCAGAGGAGGAAAGGTTTATTTTAGGGCTCATGGTTTCAGAGGTCTCAGTCCACAGAGGCCAGCTCCATTCCTCGGGGCTCAAGGTGAGGTTGAACACAGAGGAAGGGGGTGGCACAGGGAAGTAGCTCACGTGGTGATCAGAAAGCAGAGAGAGAGACTGCACTCTCCAGATAGAAAATATATACCCAAAGCCACGTCCCCAATGAACCACTCCCTCCAGCCACACCCACCTGCCTCCAGTTACCACTCAGTCCCCCACCAGGGACTGATCCACTGATTAGATTAAGGCTATACCCCAGGGATTCCTCCTGCAGACCTCTTGCATTGTCTCACATGTGAGCTTTTGGGGACACATCACATCCAAACCATAACAAGTTCCTTTAGGACTGTGGGGAAAACAACAGCTTCTGTCCCTTGGTTGGCACATGCCTGTGCCAGGCATTGTACCAGCACCGGGGACCCTACAGAGGCAGCCCCTGTCCTCACATGGCTTCTCAACCTTTGCTAAATTCTAAGCTCACCTGGGACGGTTTAAAAATCCCAGCACAGACTCATCTCTTTAGAAGATTGGACGAGATGCAGGTGCAAGTGTTCCTCCTGTTGCTCCCCAGGTGATTTTAGGGCAGCGCTGAGCCTCACCTGCCCAGTGGGGGAGGAGAAAAGGGGGCTGGATTGCACCAGATCCATCCCGGCCTGGAGAGACCATGGAAGGATTCTGGATGGGAATGAGTCAAAGATGCACTGAATAAATCCTAGCACTGCGAGGCCAACCACAGGGAAGCAGGCAAGCAGACAGAGGGCACCCTAGAATCTTCCCACTCATTTCCCAGGGTCTCTTCTATCAGTGGGCTTGGTCTGCTCGTTAGCAGAGCCCTGACCGTTCAGTCTGCAGGACAGCCAACAGCAGGGAACTCCTTCAGTGGTGCTGGAACGCCCCCTGGTGGCCATGGGCAACCTCGGCCTCCTGCCACCTCCAGGGTGGTCCCCAGTGCTGTACAGGCCCCCTGTGATGGCAGGGACGCGAGGACACATCGCCCAATGTCATTAGCAGTCAGATGACAGCAATTACACAGCACTGTCTTTAGGTTCCCCCTATGAAGTTGTCTAAGAGTATTGGTAAAAAATTAAGGCCCCCTTGGTTCTCTTTCTTTACCCTTTTCTCATGATCATGAGAGGAAAGAGCCTCGTGCACTCTGGTCTGCCCTTGTCCAGTAAGAGCCCTTCCTCAAGAAGTTTCTTTGGGGCCCATCGGGATCACATCAGCACCAGGACCTCTGACCTTTCCCACCTCCCCAGAACAGAAGTGGGATCCCCCAGGGTCCTGTGGACTCACGTGTCTCCCTCCCATCAGGGCAACCACGCCCGCAGGGCCCTCCCTGGGACTAGTGGTACCAAGTGTGGCTGGAGCGCTGAGAGGCCCAGGCTGGGCGGGTCTCCTACCAGGACACAGCCCTTCTGAGTGACCTCCCTAGGCGGGTCCTAGCCAATACCTGGTGCCCGTGTCCCTCCCCAGTCTCCCATCACCCCCACCGCTGGTTTCCATCTGGGATGCCCCACCCCAAGGCCAAATCCCTGGACTGGGAGGTGCTGTCCATGCAAAGTGGGCAGAGCAGAGAGCACCCTCAACAGGTGAAGCCCAACAGGGATGAGAAGTCCAGGATCACGTGGGAGGGCACTGTGCGTCGCCCCTCCTCAGAGCCTTAGAGCCGCACAGCAAGGCGTCTTCCTCAGTTGGCAGCAACGTGGTCCTACTTAGACTTCGTATCTGCTTACCAAGGAGCCAGAGATGAGGACAAAATCTCCCCCAACGCGTCCCCCTTTGGAATACCTTCCCCTTGCTGCATCAGGTGTCAGGAGAGACCCAACAGAAAAGTCACCAAGCTAACCTCCTCGAACGGGGACCAGGCTCCTCCATTCAGCCAGGCAGCCTCAGTGGGGGCCATGTGTCACGTGGCATCAGAATGAGGATCCGCGCCCGCCCCAGTCACACCTGCACATCCCAGCCTCCTCCCGCGTGGCTCAGGAGCCCCTGGAATGCCCCCCACACTGCAGCCCACCAGGCTGTGCCAGCTCACCCTTCCAAACTCGCCCAGAGCCAGATGGTTCAAAGCAGTTTAATCTTCAGAGAAAAAGATGCTTCGACAGCACAACTTCCACGTCAGGGTACAAGTCGGAGCCTCTGTGCTCCCAGGAGGACCGTGGCTGCCTACGTCCACCTCAACAGCCTGCCACTGGCACCTTCCCCAGGGCCACCGCCTGAGATTAGCCACGCAGGTCCATTACTCCACCTCCCGGGGGGCCTCTTCCTTCTCTCCCACCTCCCAGAACCAGGTGGGCCCAGCCCTAGCCCAGCATTCCCACCAAGCCAGATGGAGGTGTCTGTCCACATTGCTATCATCAGAGTCCTGATCTCTGCTTCCTCTCTGCCTCATATAAACCCTCCACGTTTGGTGACAAAGCAATCAATTAGGAGACTGGGGTGTCCAGGAACCAGACAGGATCTGTCACGGTGGGCAACAGTCTTCTGGGAGCTATCTGACACCATATCCTCCCCTGACAATCACCCCCAGCTTTGGGAACTGGGTATTACAAAGGATGCCAACTTCTGGAAGCCGCCAGCTCTCAGGCACAGTCCAGCACCAGCCACGAAGTACAACTGATGAAGAGCCAAGCCGAGAGTGGCTCACCCTGGAGACCCCCAGGCCTGGCCTTGGACGTCCTTCCATGGCCCCCTGGAGTGGCACTTCTAACGGGCACAGCATTTGGCCTGCGGGGCAGGACCCGCATTCAGAACCACGGCTGCGTCCCCCTGTGCGCTGTGGCTCTGCCTGGCCTCCCTCTGCAGTAGCTCTTGCGCTGTGAAGGACAGAAGAGAGAGTTGACTGGGGAGAGTCCCCCGGGACCGCACAGCCTGCGGGCAGAACAGCCCAGACCCGCCCTCCTGACAGCCGCTCAGAGCCCGGAACCGAGGACTCCATGTCCCTCCTGCTCACCCCCTGTCCCCAACAGACAGACTCTTGGTCCCAAGACACCAGAAAAGAAGACCCAGTGGAGCAGGTCCCGTGGGAGCCCCGGCCCTCGTCCGGCGGGTGGGCTGCCCTCGCTCACCCACGGTGCTGAAGACCTCGGACACCTGGAGGTTCAGCTTGGCAGAGGTTTCCATGAACAGCAACTTGTTGCTCTCGGCAAACTCCTTCCCTTCCTGAGGGAAAACGATGGGTTTATGAGTTCCCCGAGGACACTAACGACCTCCAACCCACGCCCAAGGGCAGCCGCAGGCCCTTGGAAAACCCCACCCCACGTTCTTCTAGTCCCAAGCCCCAGCCCTTGGCCACCTGGAGCAGCAGGCCCAGGACCAAGAGGGAGGGACGCAGGGAGGGGACGGGTCACCCTGGAAGAGGCTCCTGGAGCTGGACAGGGAAGGTCCCTCCTGCTGTGACTGTCCAGCAGACAGAGGCAAGATGCCCAAACCGAGGGGACAGAGGAAGCGGGGGAGGCATGGCAGGGGCCCTGCTCCCCACAGGGTCAGGCTAAGTGGAGAAACCAGAGCAGAGATAGCGGGAAAACCGTGACCAGGAAGGAGAGGCCAGGGCCAGGCCTAGGAGTCAGGGTTGCCCAGGATGGGTTCCCCCACGCCCACTCTCCCC